GTCTCAAGTGCTTTCTTCTTTTCTTTAGTCTGTTATTGCTTGAAAGATAACTTTGCTTTGTTTTAGCTAACTTTATAGTGTAGCTTGTACTTCTATTTCTTTTCTCTTTAGCTAGCCCTTCACAAAAGCATTATTTTTTCTTCTCCTTCTTGGAACTAGTCAAGTTTTGTATTATAATAATATATCCTCTCTTTTTTTGCCTTCATGAGATCCTTTAGTAATGTGAAATAAACTGTCACTACTTTTTTTGGATTACTATTACTATTGTTTGAAAGAAAGACTGATTTTGTTTTAACTCTAAATAATTGTCTTAGCTATAGTGTTTCTATTGTATATTTTAGAATGTTTATAATTCTTGCTTTAAATTAGTTTCTTTCAAATAGCTCTTCTTTCTTAAAATCCTTACTTGTCATTCTTAGAAGTTTACTGTTTGCTAGAAGTATTGCCTACCTATTGTTTCGCTTTTGTTTTCTTTTTTTGTTCTTAAAACTAATCTGTATATATACTGCACTACTTGTTTGTCTTCCTTTCCACTTGATTATAGTAGTCTTTCTGAAAAACTTAACTTATTTTTAAGTTATTTTGGTATTATTTCTGCAAGTATGTCCCAAATCGTATATATATTGCCAGAGCTTTTTGTTTTAAGTTCTCTTCTTTTTTCTGATATATTTTTATTTATCATGTTTTCATTTACTTTTGTGTTTATACTATTCTTTTAATATAAGCCAGTGATGACTTTTTTAAAATCTTGATTCTTTTTTCTTTTAATTTCCCTATCCACTTTTAATTCTTTGTCTACTCTTTCTGGTGTTCTCTCTTTTGCTTGAACTATACTTTCTGTAGAAAGATTGTAGTTTTTCTCTATATCATAATCTGTTGTTTCGCATTCTGCTTCTAGCATTGCTTCTTTTTTTTGTTAAATTGCTTCAAGATTTTTTTCTTTATTTTGGCTCTCTTTTTGTATTTTTTAAGCTATTTTTTAGACAAGTTTTAGTAATTTCAAGCAGAATTCTTATAATACAGATTTTTTCTGCTAAAGTTGTTTTAATAGCTTGGGCTAGTTCTTTGTCTATAACTTGTATATTTGTATATATTTTTTCTAAAAACTCATTGCAAACCTGTATGTCAAGCCTAAGTGTTTGATATCTTTTTTTAAAGAAATTTATTTTTCATTCCAGTACTAGTGTATAGTTCATTGATCTTCCACTATCAGTTTATTTTTCTAGATAATTCTTGTTGAATTTGGTATTTAGATTGATATTAAAAATAGAATATATCTTGTTTGTTTGTTTATTTGTTTGTTTATTTGTTTATTTGTTGGTTCTTGCTATTGTTTACACATTGTAAAACTAATCGACAGTTTAGGGTATAGGCAAATTTTTCAAAAGTACTGATGAGTTTTAAAACAAAAATCTTAAAATCTTTTTTGATTAAAAGTCTAACTATACTTTCTAGAGAAATATTCTAAGTAACTTCTCTTTATTTAGCTTTCTTTTCTCTTTGTATTATAAGAGTATGTCTTGTGTTTAATTAGAAAATATACTATTTTTATGTTTTGTTTTAGCTTCAAAATTGGAACAGAGAATTAGCAGGAAGAGTTTTTTTAAATTGTCTAATTAATTAACTATAAAATTATTTATTAATAGGTATAAAATTTTTATAAATTAAAATATAAATCTATAATATTTTTTAATATATTTGTTTTTAATAATTAATGTCGCAGATCATAATTTAAAATGAAATCTATATTTTTTATTTAACCTTCTAACCTTCTAAAATCCACTTATACTTGTTTAATATAAAATACTCTAACCTAACCCTAACCACTAACCCTTAACTCTAAAAAATACACTCTAAAAAATTTTATTTTTCAAGATTTTATACTATAATTTTATTTGAATCTGGATTTCATTATAATCTGCCATAAGTAATATTAAAATAAGATGTATTTTTATATTTATTTAAATAATTAAAATTGTTTTAATTTTATATATTTACTATTGGCTAGCTTTTTAATATATTAATAAAGTATAAAGTTGTTTTATAGTTTATATAATATTTAATAAATGTTTAATAAATATTTAAACACTTAAACTCTTTCTGACAATTACTTGTACCAAATTTTCTTAAAAATTTACAGATTTAAAAATATACAAAAAGTTGATGCCAAACTATAAAACATGAAGAAAAGGACTACAAGCTAGCAACTATCATTTAGAAATAATTCTCATATGCTATCTGCTAGTAGTTTTAGAGTTTATCACTTACTACAAGTATAGTGTTTGTTATTTAGAGATAGTTCTTATATACTATCTGCTAACAAGTTTAGAGTTTATCATTTACTGAAAAAACTTAGTACTATGCATGCTTTGACAAAGACTTTTGTTGATTTAGCTAAAGAAACTTACATTTCTTGCTTATAGTATAAGTGTGACTATTCTATCCTCTCTCTCTTTTTGCTGACTATACCAAAATTTTTGACAAAAAATGGACATTTTGGCTCACTTCCTTCAAAAGATTGGCATTATTTATACTTACCAAATTCAGATGAACTTAGTAAAATACAATCATGTATTTGTTTTGTTTATTAACACAGAGCTACATTATAGAGAAAGGACTAGTATCCCTATTTAAAAGATACCTGACTCTGATGATATAATTGAAACAAGTCCATAATGATAAAGTGAAGCTTTACAAATAAGATATATTGATTAGTTGCAATTAATATATAATTTTTTAGGCCTTGGCATAGGTATAAATAGGCTATTAATTTTCTATAGTTTCAGAAGAGTTTTTTTTATATTTTTTTTCCAGTATATATAATGCAGAATAGAGCTAGAGTAGAGACTTCTTCTATTTATAGTATTATATAATTTTTTAAAAAAATAGTAGTTAGCCTTGTTTAGATTTTTATTTGTTTTTTTTATCTTGTTCTATTGTTCTTTCTAGAACTCTACATTCAGGTTTTTGTTATTTTCCACCTTTAGTTAGTTTTCCCTTTTTAATCATATTCTCTTATTCCCCTTTTTTATATTTGTTTTGTTTTTCTTTTCGCTATATGAATAGAGAAACAGACTAGTCTGAAGTCTTTCTGCCAAGATCTAGATAGAAAAAATTAAGTAAGAACCTTTGAACAGGAACTAATTCAGACTCTGAGCTCTCAAGAGTACAGTGCGATAGGTTGCATTTGGGTATTCACTACTTGAATAATATCAGGCTTTGTTTAGTCTTAGAAATTAAACTATGTATTTACTATAAAATATATAATAAAAATAAGAGATCAAATTATAGCAAGACTTTTCAAAGGTTAAAAAAAAAATAAATAAATAAATATTTAAATATTTATTTAAAAATTTTTTAATGAATATTCAAATATTAATAGTATTGAACAAATGAATATTCAAATACAAATTTTTTGACTGAATAAAACTTCTAAACAGTAGCTACCATGAGGTTAATAATATAAAGTAGTAGATAGTTAGTAGTTTATTAAATCTGATTGGTTGATTACAGCTTGTACTATATACATATATAGGTAGAAGAATTAGCTAATCAAAATAAAAGTCTCTATACTACTAGTAGTAGTAGCTAATAGGTAGCTACCACCTACCAGTATATACCAGTAGAAAAATTGTGATTTGGGAAAATTCATATCACTATATACAGTATATAAATAAATTTTTTGATAATAAATATCAACATAATAATTATACTTGAATACTATTTAAACAAGCCAAATATTAGTCTACATAAAAAGAGGTATTATAGTCTTGTGGCTACACCACATTAGGAATGGCAAATGTTTTAAAACATGATCTTAAAAATCATGGTTGTATTTGATTTGGTTTAATAAATTATGCCGTAATTATGATCTGTAATACTACGATTAAAATCCTTTCTCATGTTCGTGGAAGACCCGTTAAAAGAAATTTTACAAAAGTTGCTGAACCTGATAAACATGATCGAACAACACCTCACCAAAAATGTAATTATTACGAAGAAGACTTTGTTTGGTTGGCCGATTAAAATGTCAATTATTAAAATGTAAAAAAAAAACTTCCAAGAAATATGTAAGATTTATCAAAAGCCCAAAAACAGGTCAAATAATTCATTTGCAAAAACTTATTACATAGGTAAACAAACAAATGTAAAACTAATATAGAAGGAAAGGTATTGACCGATAAGCAAATTTCGTATTTAAAATTTTGTTAAAGATTAAGGTGATCTCAAAATTGTATAGCACCTTTAAAAAAAATTTTCTCGGCTGAAAATTAAAATTAACCAATTATAGGCAATATTTTCAGTTTCATCAAAATCTTAGCATCAAATGTCAATGTTTTAAAAACAGTTTAATCCGTTTTTCTTACCATAAACTGCATCAGTCATACTCGATTTTAAATCGATGAAAGTTCAAAATTTTCAGTCTTTGGTGTTCGTTCACCTATGGAAAAACTATAACCAGCAGCATTGAAATGAATAGTCTATTCTCTTTATTCTATTCTCTTTATATCGAATTAATAAATAAATTGCACAGAAATTTTATTAAGTCATTATCGTTCGATTATCAGATATCTGATAGTGATGTGATTTATCAGTTTTTTCACATATCCCATCGAGACATGCGTACGTACGTACGTAGGTACACAATGTAAGCCATACCCATAAGTCATGTCTTAAACAAAAAAACGAGTTGCTAACAACCTCGTGTTAAATGTGCCGTCGCGTTGAATGTCAAATACGGTTAAGAAAATAAATCCGAAAAATTATTTTCCAAACTAGTCATCTAATTAATTTGCCATCACCAAATAGTTAATATTTTCTTTCGAATAATCCTGATGGTAACCAAAGCTTTAAAAAGATAATGGGTGTATTGTTCTTTACTAGATAATGATGGATTGTTTCTCATTTCAGGAATGCTAAAGCTCTGAGTCAGTTGATAGCTTTATTATGCATAATGTGAGGATTAGATTTTCAACAAAATTTTCCGATGCATCTAAA